AGTTGTCCAATGAGATTGATACTTTACTCGCGGAAAGGTTAACCAAAAGGTACTTCTCTTTCCGAGAAAAGCCACTTGTGCTCTTTCGAGAGGTTTCATGTGTATCCTGTCGCCGGCACGCAGCCGGCATTTGATTCATTTGACAGAGTTTTTAAATTACACTTCTGTCTGAAAAAAAAAAAGTGACCTCTTCAAACAGTACAAGTAGAGCTTCTAATTTTTCTTGTTTACCTCAAATCCTAGGCTGCTTTTAACCATTTAGAGTACCGACAAATCTAAACAACCAAAAGCCCCGAAGCAACAAAAATCTGCTTGATGCGAAGAGACGGCTGTGGCCGGGCTGAGCCCACAGCCCAGCTGCAGCGGAGGCGACAGCAGCCTGGCTTATGTGCTCACTCACCAGGTTAAAATGTTAAACCCACAGTCCCCGGAAGCTGGAGGCAGGAGGAGGATGGGGGGAATTCCATCGGCACTTTCCCAGGTACGTTATTCAGCTTCACAACGAGGCAGAAGCAGAATCTCATGCACACGAGTGATTCGTGAGGGGCCTTGCGGAGGCCGGGGTAGGGAGAGGACCAACACTCCAGCAGTAATAAAATGAATGGTTCACCAACTGCTTCTGTTCTATAATTGGCTTTTATGAAAAGCCCCAAACGTAAATAAAACGAAGTATAAAGGAGGTGCTGAGCGTTCTTGCTCAGAAATAAGAGCAGAGCTGGGTTTTGAGGAGATTTGTATGGCCAACAGGTCAGCCCTTCTGGCAGGGAGTTGGAGTTCGGCCACGATCGTGCAGAGACCGGCTAAAAATCACACTGATTTGAGATGCAGAGAAGAGCCTCAGACTGTCCTAAGGGCTCCTCTGGCGTTTTGATTCTCCAGGTGTCGTAACAAGCCTCACCGCAGGGCAAAATGTGTGAGGGAAGCCAAAAACCTCTCCTTTTTATCACACAACGACCTTCTCTCCTGGCCAGCAACAGTACTGGGCTCCGAAAGCTCCATCCCAACCCCACTCCATGCTATTTCAGGGATTAAGCGGAAGAGAGGGGGAACTGATGGGATTTCTCTGGTGCAATGGCAGTTCTTGCTTGATGCAAGAGTGAAAGTGGTGACACGACGGGACAGCCACACCAGCGCAGCCCATCAGGCTATAAAACAAGGTTTTCTACGTCTTCAAATGTCACGTCATGTCCTTCCTTTCCATGTCTATCACTATTTGCCTGGGAGGCGGTGGCGAATTAGCCGAGGCTGCAGCAGGCAGGTACATGTGGCTAGACCGGCTCAAGTGTCAGCAATGCTCGATGTACAGGGCTGCTTCGCACTGAAGAACTGGGCTCCTTTCCAAGCATCTTAAAAAGAGAGAGGAGACCTCACATGTGACTTGGGAAGTTCCCCGTGGTGGCAGCAGGCTATGTCATTAACATTATAAATCCCATTTACAATACAGCTGTAATGTCATCCATCACTTATCCATGCAGACTGGAGAGAACATCTTGCATTTTTAGGGCCGTGGTTCTGCTTATCCCTGGTGTTGCTACAGTCGGTGGGCTGTGAACTGACAGCCGTAGGTACGACTGATAAAGTCACCGTCAGCAAGTCATCAGCTCCGCAGCGCGGTGCGCGTGCAAGGAAACCTAACGGGCAGGAGGAAAACGTGCTCGGGAAGTACCTGTTTGGGTATCGTTGTGACGCACACGGCGCTGGTTTGGTCTCACAGTGCCACAGTTTGGAGGAATGCCATGGAAAGCAATTACAGTGACCTTAAAGGAAAAAGGAATAACAGGAATACAGCCCACCTTTACTGGGAAGCCTCTTTCATGTACAAAGAATTAAGAAAACCCAAAACTTCGAACAAGATACAGCCCAATGCTTACAAGAGATTCCCTTCTTAATGACATCAGAGACCAGGAGTGCCACAGAGGGAACTGGTTTTGCACTGAGAATTACGCTGCCAAGCTTGGAGGAAGCACAGAAGCCTCCCTAAAAATCTGAATACTCCTGCCTCCGAAGTTCTTCGCCACAACTTCCAATTAAACTGTTTTTTTCATAAAAGTTTTGTTGAATACATTTCCTTACTGATTTTTCTAACACCCAGCAAAAGAGAACAACCACTAAACACCCTCCCGCCGTCACCGGTTCCGAGATAACGAATACAGCAAGTCTCTTGCCAACCCTGACTGTCCACCACTGCTCAGTGTCTTACAACACACGATGGAATCGGCAGAGAAGTTACCAAATCTGTACCTAATCCATTTGTTCCCCAGTGCAGACTTCATCTGAACCCGCGAGAAATGCGCTTTGGCTCGGAGTTGGCTTGGTTTTCCAGGTTATGGGTATAAAAGAGATGGGAAAAGGCGAATTAAAACTACAGACCCACTCCGAGCGATATGCGAAGAGGGGAAAGCGTGCAAGTGCAACAACCCAAGCATTCGTTTTATTAAAGAACACGCCAGTAGCAATACAGACTGACAGGGTAGCAATAAGCTCCCCCTGAAAGATCGACAACTTCAGTCCGATAAATCTAGTATTAAATAGGCAAAAAAAAGCCACTGGCCATGCCTCAAAATCTGATTTATGGAAAAAGACAGGTTTTCTAGAGTACATGACATGCCGTGTACACAATACAATAAAAGTGAAGCGTAAACCACAATCCCTTCTGGCAGGCGGTAAGTACGGCTCTCAGAACACGTTCTGAAACACAGAAAGAAAAACCAGGAGAAACAACTAGAAAAACTAGGAAGAAACAGAGAATCATTTTTCTGACCAAACTGCATTTAATGGCCAGGCAAGCATCTCCCCATTGCAGCTGGCAGCTTGGCTGTATTTCACGACGGCGGTTTAGCTGGCTGACGCGGCGACAGCGTCCTGCAGCCGTCGGCACTAGCAGCCTTCTCGGCGCGCGAAGAGGAAACCGCAGGCAGCTCGGCACAGCCCTGCCCCGGGAGCCAGGTCTGACAGGCAACAGTACTCCGAGGTATCCCTGTTCACGTAAAGGAAGGCAGCGCTCAGGGCACGGGTACCGTGACGTGGGAGTGACCGAAACGCCCCGTTCAGGACAGATTCGTTCAAGCAGCCTTCCTTATGTCTCTAGTGGGTATGGAAGTGTTGGGTTGATGGTTGGACTAGATGATCTTAAAGGTCTTTTCCAACCTCAGTGATTCTGTGATTCTGTGATTCTCACACAGGCGACACCGCATCAGGCGGCAGCAGGTTTACAAGTCCACATACTGCTGCCAAGAGGCGGTGAGGGTTCGCTGAAGCGATCAAGATTGCGATACAGCGAGTAACCAACGCTACACACTGCACATATTCCCATTTCACCTCACAGCCACCTCAAAGATTCTCCCCTATTACCTTAAAAAGCGCAGCACAATGAGCTGGACAGTCACAGGCAGCCTCGAAAAGCCTCCCAACACACCTACACCACAGTTACCAGCAGCAAAGCACGTTTGTTCCGAGCCTGGATACATCCAGGATCTAAGTTTCACTGCAACTACAGCTTGAACCACTACCTGACGTTTGTAGGGTAAAGCACCTGTATTCCACTGAACTGGATGGCACAAACCTCTCTGGCGGTGGGATAAAAGGACAAAGATAACACTAATCACTGCAGTGAATGTGTCAGGACAGAAACACAACAGATTATGGCTAAATTCTGGCCACGGAAGCCTGGCAGCTCAATTGCTTAGGGAGAGCCACTGCTGTTACACTGCTTAAGCGGGAGTCGGCGAGCAAGGGACAGCAGGACGCCCTGCCTGCTTCGCAGCAGGCTGTGTTTTGAGGCAGACGCGTGGAGATAGCAACCCTGCCCGCTGACAGCACAGCCAAGGCGTGTTAACGTAGCGCGGCGCTGCAGGGACTATCGCCACGCAAAGCTGTGCGCGTGGAACGTTGCGCTTCACCTCCCTGAGACAGGCACGTACTCCAGAAAGTGACACTTCAGTGACCCAAAGGCATTCTTAGGAGAAACAATTCCACTTTTATTGTAAAGTGTTATGATGAGGAAGACTTTCTTAAAAATAGTTGGGTTCCCCACCACCACCCCCCTTTACTGGTATTAAATTCATCACCACAGTGGAAAGAATCTAATAGTAACACCTAGAACGAACCGTTTGCCCTTTGCATCTCTGCAGATCCCCAAAAGCTCTACACAAAGAAACTCAAGAGTCCTTACCAGTAAGCGTTAACCAGATCTTTCACCAAGATTCCACAGTGCTGCTGGTCATTCGGCACATGCACTCACTGGGACCACACAGCCCGCGGAGGCTTTAATCTGCAGTTTGGGTTGCCACTGCACCAAGAAAGGATTCCAGCTGATGAAGCAGCAAGACCAAACTCAAGGCACGTTTGTGTAAACAAAAGCTCTTCTGTTCCTATAAAAGCAGGTAATAAAATACACAAAACAAGTAGAATTCTCTCATTCAACCAACGTACATCTACCTTCAGTCTTTCCTGAGGCACAAGTGGAGCAGGAGGAAAAATCCCTACTACCACATTTTCAACATTCACTCTGCTATCAAATAAATTAGACTTACTAGAGCAAAGGGAAAAAGAAGTCCAGCTGTTTTTTGGGTTTTGGGGGTTTCTGTTTGGTTCTGGGTTTTTTTTGCTCTGGTTCTTGATAAAAAAATTACATCACCAAGAAATCAGCATTTGCACAGGGAAACAAGAAGCTGTATATTTGCCAAATTAAATCTTAAAATAATGTTGTATACTGTACAAATATACATCGATAAACATTTACAATTTTAACTTCCTAGATGACAAAATTCACTGCTCTTCCAAGCAATGCAGCTACCCAACGTTCCTTTTCAAAAGCTCAAAGTTATCCGCTGTCAGTATAAGGTCCCCTTCACAGTTAGGGACAGGATGGGAAAAGGATGGATATTCCGACAGTAGTAGTATCAGTATAAGGGAGTTTCAGGTGCACTAAATAATTAAAATACAGTCTCTGCTAGACAGAAATCTGGGAATAGATTTTCAGTAATGAGCCAATACTGAAGTCAGTAAGAGGTCTTCCTTCGCTTGGCACTGTTTGATTCCCTCTTTTCTGATGATTCCTCTGATGTTTTCCTCACTAAAGCACGATGGTCTTTGTTCCACCTACTGCTAGCACTCTGACCTCCTTCACTGTGGGCTTCTGAGCTGCTCCTCGGTACAGCAGCTTTCCCGTCATCCTTGTGCCGAGCTGCGTGAGGCGACGTGGATGGCGCGTCGCATTGTCCCACCGTGTGCTGGGGCTTCTTAGGAGCCTCTGTTTTGGCAGTCGGATCGCTGGCAGCTGAGGACACGTTGAGGCCTTGCTGTGATGTTGATCCTGGACTGCTCCAGGCTGAGCGAGTGCTGTCTGTGGAGGCCTGCTCCTTCTCTTTTGTTTCAGTTCTACTAGCCATGCTTGCCAGCCTCGGGTCCCGGGGTTTCTCTCGATCAGCAGCCGCCGCCTCGACGGGTGCGGAAGCACTGCCTCTCCTGGAGTCGGCAGCCTGAGCACCCCGTGGATGCTGGGGGCCTCTGCTTCCTCTGGGTGCTGCATGGCCAGCCCCAGCAGCAGGGCTGCTGGCCTCACTGGGATTTGCCAGCTCACCCTTCCTGCTACAGGAAGAGCTAGCCTGCACCAGAGATTTCGTTGTCCCTGCTTTGGGTGGGGGCTGTAGTGATGACTTGAGCTTCAAAATCCTAAGAGCATCTTTCCTGTAGGTTGATTCTGATGTCTTGATAATGGCACCTCTTCTCTGAGCATCCTGAATCAACTCATTCCAGTCTTTATTTTCCTTAAAAAAGACAAAAAAGGCACACCCCCCCAAAAAAAGAAAGCAGTTATCAGAAAGAAATCAACACAAATGGACAGGTGTCAGAGGATGCACCCCCTCTTTAATCAAGGTACCTGACACAACTGTCATGGGAACTCTGTTATGTTCCTTCTGGAATGGAAGAATCTTATGTTTCACTTGCAAAACAGCAATGGGCACTCTGCTATAACACAGGGAAGGTACTTTCAGCCATCAGTGAGCTACTACTGAAAATGACAAATTTCTAGAGTTATGAAGGCCAGAAGAGTTCCCTCAGAGTGAGCCAGGAACGTGGCTCCAATGCCCTCTAGTGGTATAGCTAACACCTCCCCCGCCGAGAAAGGACTTCAAGTACTCAAGACATTATGTCTTTTCAAGAGCACTCCCTACGCATTCAGGGGGCCTTTGTATCCCCCAGGTAAGTAGTCCTGTTTCAGAAACTCCTGCTTCTAAGCATACAAGCAAGGAGTACCCTCAGAAACAACTACACAATGTAGTGTCAAAACCAACAATCCTAAGATCAGGGGAACATTTTGGGGTGGCCTTGTTTTTTCAAGTCCTTTTCCTTGCTCAAGTGTCCAGTGACAACTGCAAGAGCTGGAGGGAGAGGCAAGGATCAAGCAGGAAAGTATCCCTGCCATCATCTTATCTCACCAGTAGAGAGAAGATTTTTCACAACCCCCATACTTGAACCATAAAGGACTGTGTTATGATGTAGTTACTAAAAAAATATTGTGAGAGCAGTTTCTAACTTTCCTTCTTGGAAGCAAGGAAAACAGGTTTGGTTTTGGGGGTCCTTCTGTTTTTAAAAGCTTTTATGACCAGTCCAGCAAAGCTTTCAAAGAGAACCCTTCAGAGAGGCCTGGACTGTACTAGGTCAACAATACACCAGAGAAAAGGGTCTGGAGCAGCCTGAGGATAGTTTTCACTTCCCCAACCCTGACTTGGCCGAAAAGGGTCAATCACAGCAGATCATGTGATTAACACTGTACCTACCATGAGTGTTTTCAGTCTTCCAAGGATGAAGAGGCTGAATCTGGCTCGGGTAATTGTAACATTCAGGCGCTGAAGACTTGCCAGAAACCTAGGTGACAAGGCAAAACTAAGTTCCAAAACTCCTCCACAAGGCTTAAGTGTTAAGAGAAAACGAGGTAACGTTCAATTTCAGTGCGAGGAAGGTAACAGAAGCGGTTACAAAGGCGGCGGCAGTTCGTGACCCGTGCCCAGATCCCAGTGGAGCAGCCCTGCCTTAGAGGAAGGGCTCTGCATGAACTGCGTTTTCTTTCTTTCACCACTCCGACTCCTTGCAGGGAACTCCAGCTCTTTCCAGCTCCTGCCGTCGATGCTTCCTTTCTTAGAGCAAATCCCCTCTTAATGCCAACTGCTGCTTCCTTAAATGTTCCTCAAAGCACAGAAGGCATCAACCTCACTTCACCTATCAAGACTTTAAGCCTCTTTCTGACTTGAACTGAAATAGATTAATAATATTTGGCATGATTAATGGGAAAATTTTCTACTGAAAATACTGAACGCTGGACATGAATATTTTATTTTAAAGGTGACCTGCAGTGGAAGCACATGAAGGAAGATTTTTGCTTTGTCATGCTACAAGAGTGAGAAATATATTCTTGCAGAAGAAAGTCAGTGTTTGCCCTCCAAAAACTGTCTAGTCTGTTTTTGTGGGATCACAAACCAAGGTACTGAAGCCTAAACAAACAAATGCTTAGTGTATCCTTAAACGTAGATTTCTGTTAGGGCTTATTTACCAAAACTCAAGAAAAGGTTTATGAAACTAGTATCTATTACTTCTCTACTGAAGAAGGTCCCAAAAGGCACAGCTTATTCTAACCAAGTTTGCAATACAAAGTCAAGTCCTTGTACAATTCAGTTTGCCCAGGGCCAGCACCAGCGGCCCGTCCTGTGGTCATGGCACTGACACCTGCACTTTAGCAAATTCACAATCCCTGCAGCAAGGACTGCAAAAGCCCCTGAGCCGCCTGAAAATTTGGGTAGTGCAGGAAAAAAGAGAGAGAGGCAGGAAGGAGATCAGGGGAGTGGATCCAGCAGCACAGGTATTATAGTTCTCTAGGTCTTGGGGCAGGGGAAGGGATCTTGAAAAACGATTAAATATTCCTAAAAGCTTTAAAAACTGAAAGATGGCAAGATTATTTTCTCAGGAAAAAAAGCCCTTGGTCATTTCTTGGAGTTTTCTCCTCCCTTTGCAAGTTACTTTGAGTAAATTTAATGCTGGACTAGCAACCTTGGAGACCAAAATACTTTGCTCAGCTACAAGTAAGGGTGATGCAGACGTTCCCATCACACCTTGCCAATGACACCCGACCCTGAAACAGAGATGTCCAAGTCATCAGTATGTACAGCTTCAGACACTGAGCTGCCAAAGCTTTAATATACAAGCCTTCGACACAGAAAGCTGGAAAGTTTTCTTCCAAAAGAACACACAGAGGTTAAGTCCCACGTCAGCCAAAAGAACTGGCAAGTTCTAGCTGCCTCCTGTTTCCAAACTCAATCAACCAGATTAAGAAATCGCCAAAAAGCATCCCTGTTGTTTACTTTAGGATTTGGATTCCTTCTCTTCCCAGTGTAACACTGATCAGCACTTCTGCTATGGGGACAGGCAGAGAGAGTTGGGTGTCTTCAGCCTGAAGAGAAGGCTCCAGGGAGACCTTAGAGCCTCTTCAGTTACTGGAAGGTGCTATAAGAAAACTGGGGGAGGCAGTGACAAGGGCAGGGAGTGACAAAACAAGAGGTAATGGGTTTAAACTGGAAGCGGGGAGATTCAGACTGGACATCAGGAAGAAATTCTTCCCGCAGAGGGTGGGGAGCACTGGGACAGGTTGCCTAGAGAAGCTGTGGATGCCCCATCCCTGGGAGTGTCCAAGGCCAGGCTGGATGAGGCTTGGAGCAACCTGGTCTGGTGGAAGGTATCCCTGCCCATGGCAGGGGGTGGGACTGGGGGGGCTTTAAGGTGCCCATTACTGTGATTCTATGAATTAAAAGCCCTTTATATAGCAATTAGAAAATTAGTACCAGAGAACATAAGTAGCTGAGTGAAAACTGGCATGTGGAAATGAAGATTTTTGTTTATGCCAACAGACTTCCCATAGTTTGACTGAGAAACCAATGAACTGTAAGAGGGCATTTTCAACTACTGCTTTTGAACTTAAACTGCCTGGTAAGTTACATAAACATATCAGCAACCGCAGAAGCGATCTGGAGGTAAACAGCACACCCAGTATCAAGTCCCTTTGTTTCAGATAGGAAAAACCCATGTAAAATGACATCTGCAAGACTTTCTGCAAACCTCCTCCTAACTCAAGAGACAAGCACACTCATCTACAAATCACAGATCCAGCCTGTCTGCAGCACATGCCTAGCAACACGACTAGCTCACAATACTTATACAGACAGAATTCTGTACTGATAGACAGCAACAGTCCTAAAAAATTGATTTCTTTTTGAGAGCAGCATTCAGAAAGTTACAGTACATATCCAAAGCTAGAAGAAAAATAATTGCTGCAGTACTAACACACAGAGCCAAGCTCCCAAGACCAGTCACGCCAAACGGAAACAGCGACAGGCTACAGCAGCCATGCAAATTCCTCAGCAAGGACACAGAACACAAGACTTAGCATTTCCATGTCCCTTTTGTTCAGACATCTCAAACCAGTAACACTAATTCATGCATTAAGGTTCCCTTTAATTTGCTGGCTGTAGTGACTTGTTCTCTAATCCCTTTCTTACTGGTCATGTTAAAAATATAATGACTGTGTCTAGAGTGTTACTGGAAGTGGGACTTGCAAATCACTGAAGAGAAACATACCCAATCGACCCTTTAGTGCTGTGTGCCCGGACGCACGTCACTATGATGCAGTCTTTCTCTCGTCCCTGGAATGCATCCACCGTGTCCACTTCTCCTGGGCTGTCGAAGGAAGAATTAGGAAGCTGTTAAATTAGTCGAATTTTCAAGCAACACACTGATGCAAATCGCCTAAACACTATCCTTAATGATCAAGTGCCAAAATAACCCAGGGTAAAATTTTGCTTCGGTATATGAAAACATTCAGCGTACGGACCTGACGCTAAACGTGCTTTCCTGAGGCCAGCAGCATTGTTAACGAGCTGTTCAGGTCCACGTGGTTTGGAATTTTAGGTTTTCTATTAAATCAGCTTTATTCAGAGCAGTTTATATCAACAGCAATATAATCAAAGCATGTAACAATCAAGAAATGGCACAGAGTCCGTGCATCTTAAGCAAAAGGCTTGCACACCCCCTTTAAAGGCATGACTAAGTACAGATTTTGGTAGTACAGAAAGAAGTTTGAGAGGCTCTGTCATTATTTTAAGAGGATAAACAAAGAACTATTTGTTTATCCTCTTAAAATAACGGCAAAGGACTAACATGCGAGAGCCAAGTCCCACTTGAAATCTTAAGATCTCTTTACCTTTTATTCTTAAACACTCTGTCCAGTTGCTCCTGAATTTTCTTTTTCTGTGCGCTGTAAGGGGTAATTATTCCTATGTGACGAAGACCCAGATCCTTCCTTTTTTCTTTAATTGTTCTAATTAATTCCAACACCAGTTTCACTTCCTGAGGATTACTGAAAGAGCTGAACAAGAATGGAAACATTACAGAAAAGCATTTGACAGCCCTTGAAATTCAACACTTCAGCCCAGCTTGTAGGGGGACAGAGTTAAAGCCCGTCTTGAACTTTTACAGCCTCCTTCACACAGAGGCTCAAAGACCTCTGCAAGAGACGATGAGGGGCTAGCAACAGTGAGAAGTGTTATCGGCGAAAGGCTGCGCTTCACATTCCCTTTAGACTACACAGCTTTGCCTTCGTTATACAACAGGAAAAGCAAGGAGTGAGCCTGCCACCTTCTGGCATTACCTCAGAATGCAGCTGTGAAAGGGAAGTCCCTGATATAAACAGAAATCAGAAACTGTTAACACAGAGATTGTAGGCATTCACTGGCATCTAGCAGATAATCAAACCAGGTTTAAAACCAGTTTCAGATAAAAAACATTTAACACCTGCTTTTATGTAAAATTAAATCAAATCAAGTTGAAACCAAAGTTCTGGCTACTTCCTGCATACTGGGAACAACAGAGGAAAGACAACTATTCTGCAGATAATTAGTTCTCAGCACATCTAAAACGTGAGAAAGTAGAAGGCAGGACTTACTCATTGTCTCGCTCCTCACGACCGTCTCCTACATCAAAAATAAGGTAGGGCTGGAATGGCCATTCTGAAGAACATCTGTTCTCTTCTGTTGCTCTGTAAATAACATTTTTATCACCAGTAAACAATACAGAAGTTCTAAGAACTGATACTCCATTTGTTTACATGGTGGTTATCATATACAAGCAACTTCCAGCTTTCCTTCCCTCACAGGTCCTTAATTTTCACTGCCACCTGTATATACTGAGGCCTGAAAATGAACTCTAAGCTGTAAATATGCTTAATTTGAAGTAAGCTAGTTAACTTATCTATCAGCCAGCACTAACAACAAAAGGAATCCAAGTTTTCTCCCATTAAGGATCTTCCCTTCCCCACAAACTCAAGAATTTTTAGACTCAAAAGAGTATCCTGAAGGAAAAGGCTTCTTTGAAATACTCCCCAATCAGAAAGAGGAGCAGGGCTGCTCACCTGTCTGTCTTTAGAGTCCTGCCATAAACATAGTTGGACGGGAAGATGCAGATGTCAGGGTGCATCCTGTACTGCAGAGTCAGCTGCACAACCGGCAGGCTTCGAAACACCTTCTTCTGCACTTGCTCTTCCAGGTGTCTGTGCAGACGTGCCATCAGGGACTGGTCGTAGCCATATTCCTGAGCTTTCTGCCAGAGGGAAAGCATGATGTGGACTTCAGGGCAGTCAGGTTACAGGAATTAATAACGGGAATTTGCTTTTGGACTTAAAACTACATGGTGTTTTCTTTCAGACTTCTAAGTCACTGACAGAACGACATCTACTTGCACTCCGATTTTCTATTCATGTTAGTCTTATTATTTCAGCAGAGATCTCCAGCGTATATCTGAATTTTTGCCAGCGTAGTCTTCGGCAAGACAACTTTCCTTTGTAAGTCACAACATCATAAAATTTTAAAAACCTCAACAATAACAAAATGCACGATCTTCCAGGTGGGATCTCATTAAACAAGCACACAGTCTCCAGACAATTTACGCTTCTGGAGAAACCACTCTGTTTGTCCTCCTTTCTTTATCAGATGTTTAAAACCTCCTTGCGGATGGACACAAAGTGCTCCTGTGTGTTCATCCATAGGAGACATCTGTAGGGTGAGGAAGGCCGCATACAGCCCTCATCCTCCGTTCCTTAGGGAACGTGTGACTGCCTGAAGCTCACACCAGGAAGCAACAGCCTGCCGCAACGCAGCGTCATCACCGACCAACGGGGAGTCGCAGTGACGCGTGTGTTGCCGTAGCTGTTCTTCGTAGGGCACGAAATCAGTTTCAAGCTATGCCAAAAGCCAACAGAGGCGCCACTCACACACCTGCGTTAGCTTCACTCACGCCTCGGAAGGCAGCACTGATACCGCCTCCACGTACCAGAGACTGACCTCGGCAGGGCACGAGAGTTGTCTGACACACACCATGACCTGACATGGAAACGTCTCTTTCCTTTTACCTATAGAGACTGTTCTTATACTGTATCCACTATATAGCATGAAAGAATACAACTTGAACACTTACTACTGATTTTACGGTAGGAGGAAGCTGTCTGGGATCTCCAACGAGGATAAGTTTATTACAGCGATGGATCAGAGGAATCAGTGTTTCAACCTCACAGGACTGCCCTGCCTTTTGTATACGCAAACAGGACAAAAAGTAGAAGTTGTTAGCAAAGGAGTGGAGGAAAGCGTGTTCACTGTCCTGTGACAGAGGCAGAATAACCCAAAAATGCTCTTCAAGGCACAGAGAGAGAAGAATTTTTCCCTAATAAAAACCTCTAGGTATTTCTTTTATTATTAAATACGCAGAGCTCTCTCCAAACAGATACAAATATAACCCAACCATCTGGAAACCTCCACAGCAAGAGGCTCGCTTCAGCCATGATTTTTAAGTAAAAGCCACCTGCCCTTAAAGCACCAAACAAGTCAGAAAAAGCAGCAACTGAAAGTTACTCTTTCTTCTTACGGCTCTGTGTGGCAGAACAGGCTGGTTGAATGGTAAGGGGAGGGGCTGGGGCAGTCAACCCACACGACACTACACCAGCAGCCAAACAATCACAAGTAGCTGAAGCAGAGGTGGAACATGCAATCTAGCTCTAAATAGCTTTACTGACCTCATCCACAATAACACAGCTGAAAGGATCGAGTCCTTTCCGCCAAAACGCAGATTCCAGCAGGCTTCCTCCACTCGTGCTCAGGGTGCAGCAGATGATGTCGGACTCCAAGATGATATCCATCTGGACTTTCTGAGATTGCCCTCGAACCTTCAAATACAACAGGATACCATGTCTCCTCTCGTAGTTTTCCCGAACAACCTTAGAGCAATCTCTAACTGCCTGTACAATCTAACCGCCAAACAGATCATGCCTAACGCATCATCCCAACAAAACCACCTCCAGTATTACAAATGAAAGTCACAAGTTGGCTTAACTGAAGCGCTACTCTCACTAAGTTACACCACCTTAGGGGTGGCAAACTGGAAAGATTCATTCCTCCATCTCTACAGCTATACAATCCAGACACCGTAACTGTGAGCAAAGTTTAGTTTGCCATCACATTTGTGACTCCAAACCTCCACGACCCCTAAGCATCAGCATGTATTTGCTAAAGCTAAACCTTCAGTCATCTCATGGTTTGTGCGACCCAGCCTTAATTACTGGTCTTGCTGTCAGTGCCTATTTCCACCTTAAACCTACCCTCCTTTCACACACACACGCACCCCCACACCACCAAAACTTTCAGCTGTTGTTTTAGTTGGAAACATTTTAAAGTGTCACAGTTCCAGCAGGACTATAATGGGCACGAAAGCGGTGATGAAGATACTAGGACATCCTAGAACGTGAGGACACGCGCATTTCTCTAACCACCTTTGCCAAATATACATTTCATTTAAAATTAATTCTAAGAGTGAATATGCCCATTCAGGGTTTTTTTGCAATATGCAGCCAGAGCACATCTGGATTTCACACCAGTCTGTCCGTAACTTACTCACCTTATGACCTTCATCTTTTTACCTCTTACTCTACAAATACTCCCAGCCATATCAAAACCAGATCTCCACCACAATTAACAGATAGCAAGCACGTAAATAGCTTAGCTGAGGTTTATTACAGAGCTGCCCGAGAGACAAATTCCCACCTCCTTTAGCTGAGAAGCAAGCTGTTGTCTCTCCTTGGAAAGTCTGCCAATCTCATCATCTAACATTTGACTCTTAGATGGGGGAAGAAAGAGAAGCCACGTAAGTATCACGAGTAATTAACACACATTTCCCATATACTTTTTTCCTGCCATACCACAATTCATTTCCTAAACATCTAGACTTGTTCAGACTCTCTTTTAATATCAAACTTGTCTGGAAGAGCTGATCAGTTTCTTCAAAAACACTCAACATATTTAAGACCTTCCATACACAATACTACACTCCACATTTCTGTGCAACTGGGAAAGCAGTTTACAGTCAGGAATCTGTAATTTGAGCACAAATGCTAAGTTTTTAGACAAGAAAAATGGAAAACTTCAAGTGCAATACATACCCCAAAAATCTCAAATTGCAAGGTATCTTACTACTTCCAGTTAGGCAGAGCTCTGAAGTACACAAGTTAAATCATTACGTTCTATAAATACGGCTACACCAGTCACAGAACCAAACAAAGACGCAAAGTGGCACGACTGACCTGAAAATACCAGTACAGATAGACAAAAAAAATCCCTGATGTTAAGGTCTGCATTCCCTTTCAGGGCGCCAACCAACATTTCCATTAGTTGAAAAAGCAGGGGAAGAGACAGTTACTGCTCAGAGATGGCATTAAAAGGAAGAGAGTTCTTTACTCTTTGGATTCAGTTATGAATACAAAAAAACCACACAAACAGTATTAAAAATACTATTATCTTACTACCTCACTCTTCTGACATCTGTGCATGGCACGCTGACGGGACAGCATGTCCAGCTGCTGATCCAGAGCTTCTTTTTTCTTCTGAATATCCTGGTCAGAGTCAGCTGGCTTTCTTTCTATAACAGAACAAAGGAAAACATAGAGGAATAGAAAACGTATGTTACAGTAGCATTGCTCTTAAGTTATTAAGCACAAACGGACAAATCAATTTTGTTGCATTTTCCCTTTTTCTATTGAAGTGTTATCTTGTAAAAGGAAGATACTGAGTTGGTTCCAGCTGTAGCTCTCAAATGCTGCAGAGCCACACTGCTAAAAATGATAGCTTTAACATGCATTTCTTATAATTTCTTTTTTAAAAAGAAGTCAACTTGCTTATCTCTGGTTTTGCTTAGATTTTAGGCAATATGTAAGCTGACACTTTCTCACTAAGACTGAGAAAAACAACACTTATGAAGTACTGTTGCAGAAAAATCTTTTACCAGGTCTTCCTTCTTAAAGGACACAGGACCCTAAGTACAGCACATCATCAAGCTCTTAAAGGCTGAAGAAAAATGTGATTTGCATGTTACTTACTCATTCTATGTTCAACTTGCTGATCCAGGCTAAATGCCCGGACTTCACTGTTGATTGCTTTTTCAGCACCAAGTCGCACTAATTTGATATCACCACAATTTCCTGTTTACAAAAAATCAAGAGTCAAAATACTTCCGTTTCGATTGCTCCAATTGTCTCTGCATTTTGGTACAAGAGGAAAAAATAAATCTAAGCATCACGATATCATACAAGGCTTCTCAGTTTATGCTTTTCAGGGGATTGCAACAATTTACTTGTACTTACCTAAACACACCTACAACAAAGCTCAGTAATTCAAACTCAAAAAAAGTTGCCTATATTTTAGTGTGGCTAACAGTGAAGAAAGTTATTTTGAATTTACAGAATCACCTCTTTTTCCTCAAGCTTATATAAAACTTAGCATTCCTGCGTTAGAAAAACACAGAGTCAGCCGGTAAGTCAATGCCAAATTAACATTTGGTTACAATGCAGAATTTTTTCCTCACCACAGACTGAATGCCTTGTTCCAAATTCATCTACTTTGTATTAGTCACAAACTAGGAGGAGGGGAAAAAAAAAAGTGAGAGGCGCTGACACATCAAAATTTTCAGTCTGTTTAGCATGGCCAGCGACATCCAACTTGATTCAAAAAATCAAGTCTTGTGTTCAAATCTTTAAGGACTACTTAAAAACTGGTGAACTGAAACTAACACTGTGAGGAAAGGGTCGATGTCTGCATAAAGACGAAGTGCAGCTTATTTAAAAAAACATAGTACACTTTTTAGAAAAGCACATTAAAATTAATAACAGCATGAGGATGTACCAGTCATGTCTGGCAAGGGAAAAAAGCTGCTTAGAGTAGCATGTAAGTATCATATGTAATCAACGATTCCAGTTACTCCTTCAGGTTTTGTCTACTTCACAGACAAACAGAATTTTAATATAAACCATACCCAAAGCCTCCTGTCTGTTTTGGCATTTTTCCTTAAATGCAACGATGATCTTTTTCATTAGTTCATCCACAGCAGCATTTGATGGTGCACAAACTAGAAAACGGTTTGGCTTGATCCTGGAATGTGTTTTTTGAGTTGCTTTCTCATTCCTAGTGTTCTGTGAATGAATCACCAATAAAACAAAACAGGCTTTTTAGATTGTTTTCATTTGCGGTTTAAAAGCCAGGCAGTACGCTCAGCTTCCTCAGCAGGCAGAGTACGGGGACTACTGCACCTGAACACCTCTTAAGCTATGTCTAATACTGAGAAACAAGTCAAATGCATTAATGCTATTTGCAAAAATTCCCTTCAGCAATGATGTACTTGATGAAACTGGATGCCAATTTGAAAACCTTGAATTGGGACAGGCCAAATAACATCCTTTAATAGCACAAAATATTAAGGTTTTTTTAGGTAACATACTACTGATTGTGCATGCTTCCTTGATTTTACTCTTGAAGTTCCATACACTGTTTTTCAAGATGCCCAAAAGGTATTACTTCCACCTTTACACCCCATACAGTACAGATTTAATTAAGTCATCTTAATTAATTACACCCCCAGCAATTACCAATACTACACTTCCATTTAGTTTAAGCTATCACTGACTTCCATTGGGAAACTGAAGAGCAGAACATGATGATCGTGTTCACGTTCGCTTACTTCTCTCAAAACACGAGACAGAAGTCCAACAATAGTTTTCGATTTCCCTGTTCCAGGTGGTCCGTGGATGAGGCAGATCTTGGGAAGCCCAGGATGTTGCTTTACCATGGCATAAGCTGTCTCAATGGCTCTCTTTTGATCTTCATTGTATTTATTCATCTCCAATGCCTGAGGGAACAGACAGGGGGAAAACAATGAATTACTAAATGTTGATCAAACCTCCCATGTTCATTATAGCTATTTTCAGAATGTCCCTCACCCCCCAAAAATTACAACTCAAAAACTTGAAGGGCATGGAAGCTTTTGATTCTAAGTTTGCTAAATGCAAACCCAATCCTATCCCAAAAGTTGCAGTGATTGTTTAATCTGCACACCTTCATTTTGCATTACCTTTTCCATACTGCACCTTATTTCCTGAACAGACACCTCTCCAGTAAGGAAAAACCACCCTGAAAGCTGCTTGCAATGCACTACTATTATCTACTGCAATACAGCAGAGACCCCTGAGCAAATTCAGACTCCTCTCCATCACCCAATAAACCAACTCTGAAAAGCACAGTGCCTCAGTGCTTTTGAAATTTGTCTATTTGCACACAGTCAGCTCATAAAACAGCATGCAAATCCAGTTTTGCAAAACTCATGAGATCCAAATGCCCATTTTGTCATCCCTATCACTTCTAGCTGCAGGACTTACGTCACTTTCTGAAGCCACAGGCAAGTCTCTGGGACAGAAGTCACTGTAACTTGGGTTTATGATGGGTTTAGCGAGGGGACTCCTGTTCAACAGTACCAGACCTTTGAATGTCCGGTGTGTGGTCACCAGGGAGCCGACCACCACACACTTCACTTGCTTATTTATGAAGCATGACAAATTGCCTCGAGTTTTTACAGAAAGATGACAGGCTCTGTGCTGCTCCTTTTGTCCTATTAAAAGGAGAGTGAGAAAAGAAAAAAAAACCAAACCACCACCAGTTGTTAATTCAAAGAATACCCAAATTGTTAACTGAAAGATATTCAAACAGGCCACTCAAAGAATTCACCAGAACCAGGTGCTGCCTTCTATTAGGGAGCCAACATCTAATCTTCAAAAAAAACCTCAAACCCCTTTCTACCCCTCATCCCTTCCCCTCCCCCCCAAAAAAAAACCCCAAAACAGAAACACCCTACATTGTTTTGTAAAGCAACTCCCATCTGTTTTAATCAAGCAGCATTAATCTTGATACTTGGTAATCCTGGTAATTCACCACTTGACTTCCAGAAGACTGAACGTTTTAGTCAGCAGGACCACTGAGGTTCACGGCACTTCCTATCTTACAGCAATGCACTCCTGAAGATGCAGAGCACCTAGTCACCATTAGTTTCTGTTCTTACACCAACTATTACCATCTGTGTTTAAGGAATTCCCTAGAAAAATACATGGAAAGCAGCTGTGCAGCTCCAGCTCCTGGCTTTTTACAAAGCTTCTAGCATGTAACAGACATCCTACTGTAGAAGAACAATCCCCATTCTTCTGAGGAAAGTAATACATTACAACTGTCAACCACCAGCTATAAAGAAGCATTTTGCAGTACCAACAGTTATTTCAACCCCATTTACTTACTAGCTAAACAGCCAGACGCACGAGAAAATCGTGTCACAAGACCAACGTGATGAACTACATGGTTCTCTGTCTCACTTTCTTCCCTATAGGCGTCTTTTTTCTTTTGGACTACCAAAAAAATTAAGTCATCCTCCTTCGGATGAAGCTGCCTTGCCAAATCACTTTCTCGAAGTTGAGCTACACAAAATACATTTTAAAATTAGAACATTAAAAGGAAAATGGTTACAATTACTTTTGGACTATAGAAGTACTGCGATCAACATATTGCACATACTTCAGTAACACCCATCTGTTAATGTCCAGAGCTATTAAAAGCTATAGCGAAAGACTACGATGAGGTTTAAGTCCATCCTGCATTCTTAAGCCTGAACATAGCATTGTATAAACATAGAGCAAGTCAAGGACTATTTTATTTATGAAAAGAAGAAACAAAATCCCAAATGAGCAAAATGGAAATTATCCCAACAGCAGTCAAATAACCTTCTGTACTGAACACTTTAGGCACAAATTCCCCATAAAATACATGCATTCTGTATAATAGCAAATTCAATATCCTCTAATAAAATGACCTTTGTATTTAAAGCAAATTTTTAAATTTCCACTAGCTCATTATAAGACATTGTCTAATTAAAAGTTAGAATACTTAACCTGTAAATTCTGCTGCATTCAAGTCAGCAGAGAAGCTCTGCAAGCAGAAGTAGTAACTCTTCTCTCTTACTTTCTGATTTTCTATCCGGTCTTGTGCCAGCTACATGTTGGAAAGTAAAAGCTGAATAAAAATGCTTTGAAGGGTTTAGTGTATCAGAACAGCTTATCACAACTCAAGGGGCAAATATACTAAGCAGAAATAAGAGAAAGCTAACAGACTGTGAAGTACAGGCACTGAAGAATCTTACCCATTTCTTTTTTTCATATATCCATCCACATTACACATAAACACACACAGGGCAAACGGAAGCGCTTCCTCCCCACCCACCCAATCCAATGTACTTTTTTTACAAAGCTCTTCAAAACAAACGTGGGTTCCCTCGCCTTCCATTTCCACCTTAAAATATCAGTACTTTCAGTACTGACCTCATCACCTACGCTACTTGTGCGGGACAAGTGATGCAGTGACTGAACTTGAAAGCATACAGACTTGAACTGAACGAAGGCTATGATTTCTCACTATTAAACTATTAAAATTAAGCTATTTGGAAAAGAAACTTCTCAGATTAACCTACCCACTCACATAATTTCTCAACATAATGAAAACATCACGTTCTTAGCCTCTTTTTACAGACACTGTCATTGAAACACCTGTTTCTTAAGCAAAGATTCCTGGTTTAAACTTTATACACTAAAAAGCAAGAGGAATCACCTCCTTTTACATGCTACTGTGGATGTGAACCCCAAAAAGCACTTCACTAAGGTTAATGACACTGTCTCCAATCTTAAACATAACTGTCTAAAATCCTTCCTCTACTCAGCTCTGTATCTGAACGTTTTCAGGAGGTAAACAGAAGGCAAAACCCAGTTCTTAATCTCTCAGTAACATTTACAAGGGTTGATAAAAACAAGCCAAGAAGCAGATAGCTACTTACTGTTTCAAAGGCATTTAGCATCATCAAGGGGAAAAATGTATCAAAATAGTCATTGTATCCCTGAAACTGGACAGGAACAGGGGCTACTACAGAATGCAGGAGAGTACTTGGAGGTCCAAACTGGCTGGCGTTCACAAACATTTCGTAAGTCCACTTCAGCACTTCATTGACAAAAACACTATGATCACGCTGCTGAGCGCCAAGAAAGGAAGAGTAACACGCCTCTCGGGCAGGCCTTCTGCAAACACTCGCAGCACTCTCATTCTGCCTATTTAGTGGCTGGAGCACGTTACTAGAAGCGTGGGGTTGAGGTACGTTGCCGAAACTCGCAGGCGCGCGTGTTTGATTTCCTGCTGGTGCAGCCTTTGGAGCTGGCGGCCTGACCGCCACTGGTTTTCCTGCGTTCGCTTTGCTTTTTGAAGCTGGTGGTAGCTTTTTACCATCTTCAAGATCCTTGCTGAAGGCTGCACTCCGCGAAGAACTTACTGCGCTGAAAATCTTGGTAGTGGAAGGCTTTCTTGGTTTAGACGACGGCAGGAAAGGTTTGGCAAACAAGTGATCTGCTGCTGAGCAGGCGGCTGAATGCTTACCACAGTACTCCCCTGGTTCTTCCGCTTTTTCCATACAGTCTCTGTGCTTGCATTTCACAGCAGTCACGGATCTGTTCTGCTGAAGGCTTTCAGCACTACTCACTTCCTCTAGTCCTTTACTAGCTGATGTAGTATCTTGAACACTTTCTTCCTGAGAACATAATTCCATATCCACAGGATCTAACTGAGTTAAAAACAGATCATCATCATCATCTTCACTGTTTTCATCTGGTTTACAGCCATTTTCTTTTGAAGTTGTCTTCTCACACGTAAACTGGTCAATGCAACCTTTTCCTGAAGGTTCACCCTTCTCATCTCCAGCAAGTGCAGTGGAAGAGAGGCTTGAATCCATAGGAACAGGAGAAACCATCATACTGGTACCCTCTGATTTCCTGTTCAAGTCTGAAGAACTAGGAATTTTAAAGACACACGTCTCCCCCTCCACGGAGGGGCTTTCAAACTTTTTCTCACTGGCAAAGGGAGAAACATCCTCCTCCCTTCTTTCCCCATTTCCGTTTTCAGAAACTCCTTTGACAGATGCCAGTTCAAAACTCCTAGGCTTTTGCTTCGTAGATTCTGCATCCACTCTAACTTTTTTGTGTCTATTCTCAGAACGCCCTGTGAGATTTTTCACCCTGACATCTTTTTGGGGCCTCATCTGCCTTAGAAACTGAAGATCTTGGCAGGCCAGCAATTTTTTATTATGTTTTACAGACAAGGTCCGAGGAGTGATTAGTTTAATCTTCTGTTTCTGTGCAGCTCCAACTCTCCCTGCAGCTTTACCATAGCTGCGCAACTGAGCGACGCTCTCTAACGAGCGCTGGGAGAACTCGAACGCCTTGCGGGGGGCCTTCTTCAGACCAAGTTTTTCTGCAGTTGACGCTGGGGCAGGACACTGCCGAACTTTCTTTGGAGGAACCACAGCAGGCAGTGACCTGCCACATTGAGAAACTTTTGACGTACTTTGAAGTAGTTTCTTATTTTGTACAGTTTTAAAAACAGGAGGTTTTTTAGGACTTCTTTGAACAGTTCTTGCTGCTTTAGCTTTTGCTATGTTCTTCTGTGGACTCGCGCTGTTTTTCTTAAGGGCCAACTTCGAAGCTAATGAGATGTTAGAGGTAGATGCTCTTGGTTCAGTCAATTTTGAGGCCAGGCTGAAGCCTTTAGCAACAGCACCTTTGTCTGCAAAACTGTCCAGCTGATCTTTTGCATTTCCCTCACTAACAGATTCTTGCAATGTTGAATTAGTCACTTCTTTCATATTATCCACTTCCTTCTGATGAGAAGTATCTTCCATCTGCTTTTCTATCGAGTCTGCTTCTTCCATAGTACCATCACTCAAGTAGTCCATATCGTAGCCCCAGTCATTTGTGTGATCATACACGAAGTCAGCTGGCTTACTGCTGTCAGCACATGTTGTAACGTGATCTTGCTTATACTCCTGAGTTGCTTCCATACTATAATCCTGAGTATCTTCCCAAACCGAAAAGACATCAACTTGTGTTTCAAACTCAAAGTACTGCGAGTCGCAGTCTTCCACTGACAGGTGAGAGCTTGGAGTCTTCGACTCTGTTTTGATATCACTATCAGAAGTGCAGCTGGAAGTTGAAGGCTGCTTTTGGGGGGACATATTTTCATTCTTTTTTCGTGTGTTCTCCTTGTCAGACACACCTCTTTCTTCATCAGAAGAGTCTGAAATTATAATGACTTGATTGTCAGGGCAATCTGCGTCACAGGGAGACTTGGTACTTTGGCTATCACATGAAGATCTTACAGCACCCTTCACTTTCCTTTTAATATCACATACATTGTGATGTACTGAGCTTTCTTGGTTTGAGTCAAATTGAAAATTAACACTTTTGGCATAAGCAGCTAAAGATAATTTACTGAGTTCTCTATCAACCTGGGAATCTGTTGAAGTATTGTCTTCAGAAACCATATCCATAGTGTCCTCTTTCTTCCCCACTGAACTGTTTTCTTTCTTGAAATATTCTGAAAATTTCAACAACCTGTCACTTGATTCACACTTCATTGACCATGGCCAGATCTGAGGAGCAGGGTTGGACAGATGTCTCTCGTTGTCAGAGCTAGATGGAACACGACCTTTTGCTGAAGTTTTATCCGCACAAAATGTCTTTGAAATTTGAACTTTATGGTCACATTTAACCAAGTCATTTAAATTAAGCTGTTCCTTGTCTGTGTTTTGCATGTCAGTGTCTTTCTTAAACAGAGATTTGAACAACAAACTTGATTTTTCTTCAGTGGATACTTTTTTCAGTAAGGTGTCACTAATCCCTGAATGCAAGGCACCATCTTCATCTTCCTGCTCAGCAGGTTCATCTTCAGAGGAGCTGGAGCTATCTAGTGGTGTTGCTTTTGACACCCGTTTAGTTGGGACCAGTCTGGATTGAGAAGCACTGCTGACACTTTTCTCCCGCGTACTTTCACAACCCTTTGAAGATGGAGCATCTGCAGAGATTTCACTGTCACACACTGTATTCGCTCCCTGGTGTTCGCTGTCGCTTGTGCACAGGTGGCCAGCGTAAAACTTGGGTTGCTCTGCTTCTGAAGCACGCGTTGCCAAACTGCAGTTTTTCAAGTCGTGTGGCTTCGCTGGCTGCAACGCTCTGGAGGACCATTCAATTTTCTGCACCGTGTTTTTCAAAGCTTTGAATCTATACGCATCTGCTTTATGCTTCAAAGAGTAACTGGGAGACGGATCGCTTTTGTTTCCCTCTGAGCTGTAAACACACTCTGGAGAACCAGGAGGAGTTTGCGCAGCCGGACGTATTGGTGTTACGGGTCCTGCTTCACATTTGTTCGCCAACTCTCCACTTCTGAGATCTGAACACTGGGCATTAGAGCACCGATTATTCGTAACGCCTTTCCCTGCCACAAGATCATTTGCATTTTCCTGAACTGTCCCACATCTTTTAGTTGCCAAAGAGTTCTGTGGGCAGCCGCATTCCTGAGTCACCAAGTCATTAACTTCCTTATTAATATTCATCAGGACGCTCTCTACGGATGTCCCAGATCTTGAACTTTTAGATGCATCGCATTAGAGCACCGATTATTCGTAACGCCTTTCCCTGCCACAAGATCATTTGCATTTTCCTGAACTGTCCCACATCTTTTAGTTGCCAAAGAGTTCTGTGGGCAGCCGCATTCCTGAGTCACCAAGTCATTAACTTCCTTATTAATATTCATCAGGACGCTCTCTACGGATGTCCCAGATCTTGAACTTTTAGATGCATCTCTTCTCTTTCTCCTGTGGAAAGGGTTGTCCCGACAATCTTCACCTCCTCCTTCCTTCGATGTGACAGCGAAGACTGCGTAAACGTCATGTCTGCCATGGAAGCCCATCATGCATCCACCACCATGTGCACTCTTCTCCTGCTTTACAGAAATGGTAGAGTTTGCACTGTTTCTTACTGACACAAGGGTATTCAAAGTTCTGTCCTTTATACTTCTTATAACCTGCTTTAGACACAACTGTAATTCCTGGGTCTCCTGGATGTTCAGCTGCCAACCTAAAGACAGATTTCCTCGCAGAAGAAGATTGAGTTTGTCTAGGTATTGCTTGCAAACAGCATGCTGCCCAATTTGATAGCCCTCTCTAAGAAGGCTGCGTATCAGCTGCACACAGGCGTGCTGCACAGAGTTAGAAGTTTGTAAAGATGCCGCTGGTGAACCTCTCACAGAGTGTCCAGATGCTTTTTCAGTGCAGCGTGTAAATGCTACAGCTGGAAGCTTCGCACTTCTCACCACTGCTTCCACCCATTCCTGGGAGCAAATCCATAGCAAATGCAGGCACCTTTTATTTCTGTGTAGTTCAATAATGGACACCAAGATCAGGAGGAAAAATTCAGAGACTTTGTCACACTGCTGGATTCTTTCCTGGAGAATATCTTTGATTTCCGAGCAGAGGTAGTGAATGACCTCCACTATATATGCTACACCCAAGTCCTGGAGATCCATAAGCGACTGAACAAAAGGGATGAACCACAGAAACGTGCTCTGATGGACCCGCATTTCTCTGCCAATATCAGACTGAAGCACACTAGCCAGCGTTTGCATATCTTCGTACATGTTAGGGCAGTAGTCTGGACAAATGGCAGTCTTCCATCCAGTATCCTGAAAAATAAATTCGCCACACAATCCTCATTACGCACGCCCGCATCGTGCAATCTGCCAGGTTTTTTTTAGTTGTAAAAGTTACTCTCTAATCATATCTTCGTACATGTTAGGGCAGTAGTCTGGAAAAAGGGCATTCTCCCATCCAGTATCCTGAAAAATAAATTCGCCACACAATCCTCATTACGCATGCCCGCACCGTGCAATCTGCCAGGTTTTTTTCTAGTTGTAAAAGTTACTCTCTCTCTAATATGTTGAGTAAATGATAGCATCTCCTATGTATTAATATAAGTCAAAATCTAAATTAGAAAAATGCAAAAAAAAAAAAGTTCAAACCAATACACACATAAGGAACTCATTTCCTGAAATGTATCCTGTGAAATAAGTGTCAAGTAGTAGTTCCTTTACAAAATCACTGTCAAACCCTCCAAAGACGTTGTTAGGCTGACATAATTTAACCTCAGATAACCAAATATACTTTTAAAGCCTTTAAAAGACACTTCATAAACACAACACACCAACATCAAGAGTACACACTCCCAAATGTTTCTCCTGCTTTGTAACAACCATACCCACCACCACAAAGCCATTCTGGAGCACAGGCTAACATCTGAAAGTAAACCAATGCATAACTCATGACTCCACACTAAATATATTAGTTTGGAACACTGAGAAGCAAACAGTAAGATACAGGAACTCAAGCAGCCACTTTTCTTTTAAATTGAATTCAGAGTTTCCTTTTGGGTGCCAATGTTCATTTCAATCTTGATACGAATTCTTGGGCTTTAGTACCGTCTCTGCCTAACTCACAACATGTTCTTCTTTCCTCTTAGACTCTGAAAGTACCAGGTAACCAAGAAGTGACCAGACTGGCTATTTAAGGCACACAATAGTGACACTATTATGTAATATTTTCTTTACAACATTACTAGCAGAAACAGAGTATCTTCCCCTCTGTGTTTTACAGACAGTTTAAACTGACAGTGTCATTCAGTGATCACAGCTCAAAGAACAGGGAAATAAAATATTTTTAATACCTTTTGAGGTTTTTCTGTGTTATAATTATACACAATCTGACTGCAAGTAACCATGTCATCATTATAGTCTGAGTCCGGTTCAGATTTTGTCCTGCAAAGAAACAGAAATCATTACAGACCCCACACAACCAATTTAAACTACAAGAAAGCCAACTGGCCAAGACACAAATTTCACTTTTCAGATACTGACCACGTGACTATTAGAACTTGTCAGCGATAAAACATACCTAGGAAAAGATATAATCTTTAAACTTGTAAAGCTTGTTCTCATAAGAGGTGGGGGAAGTGACTACCTCAGGAAAAAGAGCTGTCTGTTAAGTCATGGATTTGACTACCTAGAACAAACCCAGAAGAATTTTAATTTTTTATGCATAAATGCAGCTCCATCATGGCTACATCCTCAAACTTTCTAAACAACTATTTGAACACAACACGCAAACAGCTTGTTTTAACAGAAGAAAATCTCCTTTCATACCCCTTCCTCAACTATCTATACCATCCCACATAGCTGTATCTGTAGCTACCTATAACATTATAGACTATGTGTATAAAAATGCTGAACGTGGTAGATGCTGTCCCTCAAAGCCGATTAAAAAGTACCACAGGAAAACAACTACTACAGGTATCCAGGTACTATTTTCCACCAGCTTTTTATAATTAGACACAATTTCAGTTCTCAAAAATAGGTATGATCCTGAACTCTTGGGGCCTGGATTCTTATAAAACCCCTTAGAAGGGACAGCATGACAAAGGACGGAGTTCAAGTTTACATAACAGAACTCTGTTCTCACAGAAGCTGTTTCTAGACTTCCTTGCAGTGCACTAACCAACCACTTCTGCACTCAGCAAGAACTTTCCGTTCAACGCTGACAATATTGTCACCCAGAAGTGATTCAGAAAGCTCCATTTTGTCTTAGGATATCAGAAGATAAAACCTTTCTAAAGACTATCTGATGCCTGCTCTGTGTTTTAAAGCATTTCCTTTCAGCGGTTCACTATCTTATCCAAGCTATTAAAGGCCAGTTCCATGATTCTCACTTCATTACCTTCCCTGAAGGGAATACATTCAGAAAAGGTTTTAAGACCATACAGTACCATTAAGTAAATACAACCTCGAGATTATATACTGAAGACTTAACATGAGCTGAAAGTAAAAAGCAGTTGTTGTCTGAACTACAATAAAATCTAAAACTGTGTCATCCACTGAAAATTCTGGAGTTTCCATAATTCTACCAAGAGTCTCAGATATGGCAATATCTTCCTTAAACTTCACTGCAACTTGGTTAGAGCATTAAGTAAGCACTGAACAGTTAGCAGCCTTCCTGACCGAGGAAAAAGCATCCTGAAAAGCATAACAGACATCACAGTACTCAAGAAGAAGTGAGCGTGTATTTTTTGAAAGAACTCACAAATTCAGGGGACCTACTTCATCTTCTTATTGCTTGAAGTTTGCAACATCTGATTTTTTTCCTTGCCATCTCCCTCCCCCAACACAAATTAAGGCAGCACTGACAAGAAAACCAAGACCAAGCTACTGTGCTACCTGGTACTAAAGTGGTAAAGCTGTTCTAGTCTCTAAACAAAACTGACCTCTTAAAGCTATTGCGTATATTTTTTATCTCATTGTTGTAGCTCACACTGTTGATAATGGTTTGAAAGGCTTGGACAGGATCAATAAGCTGACCCCAAACTTTAGATCCGAGCTGATCCAAAATAACCATGAAACAATGCAGCGCTGGCCAGAAGGGGTCAGAGGAATCATCTGAAACATAACAGTAATATTGGGGAGAGTTGAAATTCAAGAGTCCTGCACATTCTTAGACTAAGATGAAGTTGAAAGTAGGTGGTTTTCATTGATTTTTCTTAAATGCTAATATAAAAACATGTATTCTAGTAAGTTATAACTATACTTTTTAACCTGGTAAAAGAAAAAAAGATTTTAAAAAGTCAACCACACTTATCTGTACAGACACTGTTCTTCATGCAGTCTCAAATCAACAGGAATCTGGATATCCATTACCAACATTTCCCACCTCTATGAAACGGACTCTTCCACACTGATTTTTGCAGTGCTGTTCTAAGAAGTGGGTACAACTTACACGGCTATGACAACCTATAGTTCAAAATTAGCTAGAAGCAATTGGTTTTCCTTCAAGTGTGTTCTTCATTCCTCATGTAAAATAACATATCCACAATAAAGCTCTAGTCATTTAAGAGGCAGCCCTGGTCTTGAGCTCATGTGCCATTCCCAGCATATGCCATTGCATGTGGCCTACAAGAACAGGCCAAGGGCCACTAATCTGAATTCTACCCAGTTACAAAAGGGACTGCCTCAAAGCAGATGGGCTGAAGAGTCAAATTTTAAACAAGCTGTGGCAATCCCGAAGGTGTGTGTTTATTTTAGGACCCAAAATTCAAACTTCACAACACAATGAAATGCACATTCCCATACGACCTGTCCATTAAATGAAAATAATATGGTAGAAGTTATGGATTTGCCCTCTAAAAGCCTCTAAGCCAGCCTTAGAGCTTAACCAGTTTGAATGCCACTTTTCAGTATCTGTCAGTATCACCCAACTACTGTATAACATTGGCCATCTTCCAGAAGGTAAATAACCCTCAGTTAAAGTCACCTCAGCATTACACTCCTAAGAATTTACACAATTGAACAAGGAAATATGAAAAATAGAGTATGAACTGTCTTAATCTCAGTATCAAAATTAGTTACCATCTGCTTCTTTCTCCATGGTGTGAAGTATAGACTGCATGAAATCATTTTGTTTGTCTGGGCCCAGTAACAAGGAGTCCATCGCTTGTTCTTCCAGCACTGTTAGCAACATACAGATCCCTACAAAACCAAAAGGAAGCAACCCGTTCATATCTTTGCAAAAATTTGTTCTAATTTTAACCAAATCAAGGATCATTTTCCAAATGCCATTTACATAGCCAAAGATCAGCAGCAACATGAAACTAGTTAAACGCTACCTCCCTACTGCAACATTGTTTTCCCATTTGACATCCCCCAAAATAAAACGGCACCTATGAAATAGCAGAGCTCTGACTTGAAAGAAGTGCTTACAAGATGAGAGAGATGACATGCACAAATTAACTTCTGATCATAAACACTCACCTAGCCAGTAGTTCTTGTAGTTGGCAGTATCATATAAATGAGATGGCAGAAGGATGAGTTTACCCTTTTCGATTACTGAAAAGCTGTAAATATCTGGATTCTCAAAAAGGCCCAACTCAATAACTTTGAACAAACAAGTCAGCACTTCCTGTAAGTCATAGTAATCATCCCTGTCAACCTTCCCTAAATTCCTTGCTGTTAGGATGGCCCATCGACGAATCTAAGGATTGAAACAAAAAAGTTAAAAACTCCTTGGGATTCATGTGACAAGGGCTAGCATTTGGTTTTGTACTTGCTTTATGTTGTTTGAACATTGCTGACCAACATTGTCTAATTCCGTAATATCTGTAATGGTTACAGTATACAGCTGTGTTGTCAGCACAGGACACTTGTCATTTCTCACCTTGGCGGAATCATTCTCTGACCTACTCCGAAAACTTCGGACTTTGAGCAAGCGTGAAGAACAATACTATTAAATCTTCTACTGTTTCTTAGGACAAGTTGAAATTTTCTACTCCACACTGGTGTTTAAGCAAGCCACTCTTGGAAACGGAACAGCCACAACCTGGCCACCAGCAAACGTCGCCTGACTCTCCAAAGCTGCATCAAAGCAGGTGGGAAAACAACAGTAGAACTCACACTCTCCCAATATAAACAAACAGACCACTTGAGAGTTACAATTCAACACTCCTTCGCGCGTTACACATCCAAATTCAATTCACAGACAAGCGCACCACACAGGGCCTTTTGTAAGGTCATGAAAATAAAGGACTCAAACTCCCTTGAGTATTAACACAGCACATGCAACAAGGGCTCACTGTTCCACCGGGCCCTCCCAATGGAATCAGGATGTGTATTCTTAAATTCTCTGTATTATCGCTATTTTGTCAGTACTCTTCCCTATTATTGATACCAGTTTCAGTTCTAGGATGTGTTTATGTAGTTTGAAGGAACAGCCTTCTCGCAGGATTAATACATCATCTTCAGAACAATGTAGAAAAAGTAAGCACTCAGACATGCCTCTACTGCTCTGAGAACCTCAGGCCTTTTTGGTAATCTCACAAATCCTTTTAACCAGGAAGAAAATTAAAGTGTCAGTTAACAACCACAACTGCAAACCCTCTCAAACCCTTTCAACCTCGACACTTCCAGTATTGCAAAATTTCTCTTTTTCTTACTTTCTGAAGAGACTGCATTCAAAAAGAGAGCAGCCTCTGCTACACGCACCAGCATGAATGGTATGAAGATCAGTTGACACTTCCAAATACCATAAAGGAGCTCTCCTGTTTACACTTTCAGATGAATTTTTGATCTGACTGTTCAATATTAAAATATCCCGTAGGGATTCAGACACAGGCCAAAAGAAGAAAACACACCTACAGCATTTCAAGTTGTCCCACCACAGAATACACAAACCCACTGAACACAACACTGCCCCCTTGAAACAACAAAATTCAGCGACCACCAAAGGGCATTTCAGAGAAAGTGCAGTGCTGAGCAGATATCTTTAAGGTCCCTTCCAACCGAAACCATTCTGTGATTACATCCTCATTTTTTCAATGTTAAGGTTCTGAATACTAAAACAGGAAAGCTTCTAGGGATGGAGGAAGAACAGGGAAGGAGAAGGGGATTAATACACTAAATTACAAATGCAATTCTATTTTGGGATTATAAGGCGTAAATTTACAGTTTGAGCATCTGTAAATTCTGCTGACTAAATGCAAACATTAAAGTGATTCTAGAAGTTATTGCAAAATAAGAGTCTTCTCCCCTTCAGCAAGAGTAACTGTACTCCTACTGAAATCTCATTTTTATATGTACAGTAAAAAAAAAAATACAGAAAATCAAACACTTAGAATTCTGAACGCTACTATTTTCATATTCTTGTCATTAATAATAAGAATCTGTTCTGACATCATTTAAAACTAAGTTGTAGTGGAACAGAAAAAGTAACTTACCACTTCATTTGGGTGTACCAAAAAGAGATAAATTCCTGGATATTTCTCAAAGACCTGAAAGGAGCTGTGACTTTTTTCCATTCTACAGAGCACTTCTACACACAGCTCACCTAAAGAGACAAGCACAGGTATAATAAGGCCTAATTTATATGCTCACAAAACAAATAAATCAATGTCAACAAATATATACACACACCCCGGTACTTCAGTTTAACTACTGTTTGTTATCTGCAGCCCCCTCAGTAGAACAATACCATTCCCTTTCAACTGTACACTCTAAGATACATACTGACTTTATGGTGCAGCAGCAGATATGGGTATTTCAGTATTTCTAGAAGGGGCACTCGCAGGTTATTCTCAAAATCCGGGCCCACAAAACCAGACATGTGCATTTCTCCAGTCTCATTCACTACAAACAACTCATCATCTTCTCCAGCTTCTTCCCGCACGGATTTCTCAATGTGGGCAACAAGACGGGAGGTTTCCAACTCCCACAACACCTATTCAGTGGGGAAGAAGAACTGATCAAAGTGCATTTGTGAAGAAAGTGATGAAGGACATTTATTACCACATGCAGAAACCACAAGGTTTTGAACACTTAGTTTCATTTTGAAAAAGTTTCTTTCCAAGCGTGGTGTGAAACCAATAAGGTTTTGACATGGCATTCAGACTGCAAATCACAACACTCACTTCACAGTTAAGATTATAAAGTAATTTTTAACAGACTGACATTCAAACCTGAAGCATTTTTATAATTCTGCTAAATATTCATACGCTGTTTCCACAATTATTTCAGGCCATAGGTTAGTCATAAAACTTTGTTCCATTGGCCAATATAAAAGAACTGCATGATACAGAAAAAGATCATATTTAGGAAGAAAGGAAAAACAATTTTAAACTCTTGCCTTCTCACAAATTTTGCAACGTATTAGTGGAAGTTAATGTCAACAATGCAAACAGGCTGATCGACCTGCTAAATATTAATAGGGGATTTGGCTTCCGTAACATCACTCATCTCAAGTAACTACTTCACACCTCAATTAGAAACCCAGGTTATTTCCTTTCTGTGTCTCTTAACTGTAGGAACTTTCAGGAGTCCAGTCACTGCATGTGTTTCCAATCTACACGCAGATGGCATCGCCCTCCAGAGCACTCTTGCTGACTAATTTAAACAGCAAGCTTTTAGACACCTGATCAACTAGCTCCAGATACTCATTTTACATACATATACAAATAAAGGCAAAGCAGCTTTCCAAAATACAAAATCTGATACTAAAGAGGGAGAATTATAAAAGGCTTATAATAAAGAGTTTTTAAACTTTTATGGTCAGTTTTAAATGCACAATCTCACAGGCTTTGCAGTAAGTCTCAAAAATTCAAGCTTAGTAGAAAACTGAATGAGAAATGAAAGCAACCAAAAAGAACACCAGACCCAAAGCTGAACAGAAGCCAGAGACAGGAAGGAACTACATTAAAGAAACTGAGCTGTTTGTCAGGTGTTCTTTTTTCCCGGATATCAAACCATCACAGCATGAATAAAGTTCAAGCTATAATGTCTAGTTAGCGACTTCCCACCACTGTTTTAGCTCTCGCTAATTTGAATACATGCAAAACAAGAGGGTCTTCTGGTTTTACAATCGGCTCTTTGCAACCGAATACTAAAAGGTAGACAGTTAAAAAGCAAAATACCCCATATTCCCAAAAGCAGTAAACACAACCCCTGCAGGAAACTCCCCTGAGCTGAGGCTGGACCACAGATGCCTCTTCTGAGGTTTTCCTTCAGTTTCGAGTCCTCCTGCTCAGTGCTGGGCAGGAGCCAGATCTCTTGATTACCTCATGCAACCTCGGCAATTCTTCCCGTGCTTTGTGGTATTCAACCACACACTCCAGGCAGTAACAGAGATCATCACTGGATCCTTCAAGATCTTCCGGGGACAACTGTTGAGAAGCATACCTCTTCAGGAGCTCGGTGGTGTCAGAACCACCACTTGTACACCATCGACATGTGCTCATTCTTTGGATGGAAAAAGGAAAGAATTAACAAAAGTGGCAAAATATTTCCTTTCAGCAACAACAATATGTAACTTTCAAGTGTGATGAGTTTCAGGATTTATGTAAGTGATTACCAGCACACATGGATCTTCTTATATAGGCGCACGCAATTAAAGAAAGAGATTAAAGCATTAAGTCAACATTACAGAAAAATGCCTGCCGAAGGGCAAACAAAAGTAAAGCAGCGAAAAGAAGCCAAATTACATCATTTGCAAACTACGAAACAACGCGTGAAAATTCACTTTACGCACAAAACACACCCTCATCCACGCTTAACACACACTTTCCAGAACTACCAGGCTGAAGTTCGCTATGCTGTTTTACTAGTGTCTGTGGAATACAGGTCTAATAAGTACAAAATTTAATTAGGTTTTTTTCTCCTTCATCTCTTGCTAAAATTTATAGGTCAACAAATCCCTGTTGTCAAAAGCAAAGGATATTTATGCAGAATTTTCCTGTCTTCATTACTACTATAGTTAGAAGAACATCATAAATATTCTCACCACAGATTGCTTCATCTACAACTAAAAGTTCTTCACTAAGCAGCAATGCAGTCATCTCAGACCTCCTGCTAGTCTGAAAAACCTCAACAGAACACTGGGAAGGCATGAACACTTAAACTAACTACAGAAAAGGAAAGATGGCAATTGTTACTGAGCATAACACGGAATGCAAAAGGGAAACGCAGAACAAAGCCATACGTTTCCTCCTATATACATGCCGAGGGAAGAGCCGCTGCAGCACTCACCTCTGGGAGAGGGAGCTATCTGCCGTGCAGGTGTGCCAGGTCACATGGGGGGCACGGGAACAGCGCTGCCCCGCAGCCGGGGCGGGGGGCTGACGCCTTCAGCCATACAGCACAGCAGCGCGGTCAGTAACCCATCCCCCGGTATCCGCGTCCTGCTGGTGCTTCAAGGATCTGGGGCAGAACAGTAGCCATGGGAAATCGGTTCGGTTCACACGTTACAGACTAAGAATTGCTTAGGTATTTACGTTAACAAACGTCTTATCAAACACATTTACCGAAGTGGTTTGATTTGCAACTGAATCCCTTCTGCCACTCAAGCACAGGAAGCACAGTATCCTCTCGTTCTTTAGGAAAAGGCGTAAGTTACCTCCGCACGTTGAGCAGGGATGCCGAACCGGCGCAGGCGGATACCGAAGCCTCAGCCGGACCGCGGTACCGCC